AGGCCTCCCGGCACCGGGATCAGTGGAGCCGCGAGGCCTCCCAGCACCAGGATCAGCGGAGCGAGGCCTCCCAGCCTGGGATCAGCGGAGCCACGAGGCCTCCTGAACCCGGGATCAGCAGAGCTGCGAGGCCTCCTGGCACCAGAATCAGCGGAGCTGCGAGGCCTCCCAGCACTGGGATCAGCTGAGCAGCGAGGCCTCACTGCCCCTGTGTCAAGCGGAGCCGCAAGGCCTCCCAGCACTGGGATCAGCGGAGCCGCGAGGCCTCCTGGCCCCTGGAGCAGCGTGACAGGGGGCAGCGCCCAAACCTCCTGATCGCCCTGGGGCTCTGTGTTTGACAGAGGGCGGGGTCACAACCTCCCTATCTGCCCTGCTCTGTTCGTGACAGGGGAAGGTGCCCCAACTCCCTGATTGGCCCTGCTCTGTGCCTGATAGGGGGGAGCTCCCCAACCCCCTGATTGGCCCTGCTCTGTGTGTGACAGGGTGGAGCCGCAACCTCCCCATCGGCCCTGCCTTGAGTGTGACAGGGGGTGGCGCCCCAACCCCCCAATCGCCCTACCCTGAGCGTGACTTAGGGTGGCATCACAACTTCCTGATCCGCCCTGCTCTGTGCATGGCAGGGGGAATCTAACCAACCCCCTGATCGGCCCTGCTCTGTGGGTGACAGGGGGGAGCTCCCTAACCCCTTGATCGGCCGGCTCTGTATGTGACAGGGGTGGTGCCACAATCCCCTGATCTGCCCTGCTCTGTGCGTGACAGGGGGTGGTGCCGCAACCTCCACATTGACCCTGCCTTGAGTGTGACAGGGGGCGGCACCCCAACCTCCCAATCGGCCCTACCCTGAGCGTGACTGAGGGTGGCATCACAACCTCCTGATCCGCCCTGCTCTGTGCATGACAGGGGGCGGCGCCCCAACTCCCCAATTGGCCCTGCTCTGAGCCCGACCAGGGGCTGTGGGGCAGGGACCTAGGGATTGGGCCTGTCCCCTGCCACCCGGGAGTGGGCCTAAGCCAGCAGGTTGTTATCTCCCGAGGGGTCCCAGACTGTGAGAGGGCACAAGTGGGGCTGAAGGAAACCCCCCCACCAGTGCACAAATTTTTGTGCACCGGGCCTCTAGTTGTATTTATAAAAATCTTCAAAGGAACTTGATAAGGTGATTATAAAATTTACATGTAGGAACAAAGGCCAGAGAATTGTCAAGATTTTGTAAAGAAGAATAACAACCTAGAGTATTTTGCTATTCTGTATGTCAAGAGTATTATAGATGTACTAGAGGCCCCGTGCATGAATTCATGCACCACTGGGGTCCTTTGGCCTGGCTGCAGGATCGGGCCAAAACTGGCTCTCTGACATCCCCCGAGGGGTCCCAGATTTCGAGAGGGCCCAGGCCAAGCAGAGGGACCACACCAGTGCACAATTGGGCCAGGGAGGAATGCAGGAGGTTGGCCAAATGGGGAGGGACTACAAGAGGGCTTCAGGGTGTGTCCGGCCTTTCTCCTTCAGTCCTGATAGGCCGGACCCCAGCAACAAGCTAACCTACCTGTCGGAGCATCTGACCCCTGGTGGTCAGTGCACGTCATAGTGACTGGTCGACAGGATGACTGTCTGCCCCCTGGTGGTCAGTGCATGTCATAGTGAGCAGTTGAGCTGCCTTAGCATATCATTAGCACATTATGCTTTGATTGGTTGACCAGACACTTAGCATATTAGGCTTTTATTATATAGGATAGTATCTCAGACAGTGCACTGGCACAGGGATAATCGAATTGATCAATTCAACAGAATAGGAAACTCAGAGACAGATCCACTTTTACATGGAAACTTGATAGAATTTTCCATAAGTGTTCACTATGACACAGGTGGCATAGCAGTTCATTGGGGGAGTATGGACCACACAGTAAATGGTACTTGGACTATTATCCATGTGGACAAAAATGAAATTGAATCTCCACCTCCAGTAGTTCACAAAAACAAATTCCAGATGGATTAAAAATTAAATTAATAAAGTCAAGCTTTAAAACTCTTAGAAGTACTTATAATACAACTTTGTTCTACAAAAATATAACTTTGTGAGCAAGCTTACTGTTATTTGTAAAAAAGTATCGTAAGCAAAGTGAAAAGATCAACAGAAAACTAGAAGTTCCATATACTATTGACTGAATTATGTGTCCCCCTTTTACCCCTCAAATTCGTATGTTGGAGCCCTAACCCCTACTGTGGTCATATTTTGAGAGGGGGGCCTTTGGGAGTTTATCAGGGTTAGATAAGGTCATGAGGGTGGGGTCCTCATGATGGGATTAGTGCCCTCAGAAGAAGGTCTCTCTCTCTCTCTCTCTCTCTCTCTCTCTCTCTCTCTCTCTCTCTCCTATGTGAGGACACAATGAGAAAGTGGATTTCTGCAAGCCAGGAGTAGCGTTCTCACCAAAAACCGACCACACTGGCACCCTGACCAGTCTCCCAGGCTCCAGAATTGTGAGGAATAATTTTGTTGTTGTTGTTTAAGCAAGTCTATGGAATTGTGTTTATAACAGCCAAGCTGACTAAGACAACATATAACCAACAAAGTATTATACTGAATACACAAAGAACTCTTACAAGTCAATAAGAAAAAAAAAGTAAAGCAAAGGCATATCACCAAGAGTAAATAAATAAGGCAATAATTATATGAAAAAATGCTCAGACTCATTAGTAATACAAATAAGAGCAAGATAAGATATAATTCATATTCACTAAACTGGAAAAAATTAAGGTCTAATATAAACTATAGTGAGGATGTGGCACAAGGGACATATTTTGCTACTCATACTAAAAATTGGCATGACTATTTTGAAAAACTACATTGTGAAATTAAGCTTCCTAGCACCCTGGGACCTGGCAATCCTTTGCCTAGACAAGGTGCACCTTGTAGTAGAGATTCTAACCTATGTGAAGTGGTAGACGAATGTGTTAAGGAGAAGCCACAGATGTGCTATTGGAGTTGTATAGTGGGAACAGAGCAGCTTCCATCCTCAAGCCAGTCGCAGGTCAGTGCAGGGTCTGATATTGCCGTGATGGAAAAAGATGGGGAAACTCCATCCAAGAGAACTTCTGGCATATGTGCACCAGAAGATACTTAACAAACATTCATAGCAGCTCCCTGGAAGGAGGGTGACTAAATAAACTGTGGTTAGTCAGAGAATGGAACATTCTACAACATGGGTAATGGATGAATTCTAGCTGCATGCGTGAATTGTCAAATATACTCAAAGCTTCATACCATTTTAATAAAAGCCATTACAAATCAAAGCAAAATATATTATTTAGAGATACACTTATGTAATGGGGACAAGAGTAGAAAGAAGTAATAAATATGAAACTCAGGTTGTTGTTACCTTTTGGGGAAAGAGATGCCAAGGATTCGATGGAAGAGAACCTACACTAGAATAAACTAACATGAAGTTAGTTTTACATGCACTTTCTTGTTCTTAAGTTGATAGTGGGTTTACTTTATTACTAGGCTTCATAACTCACATACAAGTTACATATGACATTTTTAATGAATTATATAAAACTAGAGGCCTGATGCACGAAAATTCACCCAAGAGTAGGCCTTCCTTCCCCCAGCTGCTGCCACTGGCTTCCCTCCGCCACCTGGGACCCCGGCTTCCCTCCTCTGGCTGCCAGCAGGCACGTTGGACCTGGGCTGGCTTCCCTCGGGCCGCACGCAGGCACCCGAGACCCAGGCTGGCTCCCTCTGGCCCTGGCTGTGTCAGGAAGGACGTCTGGAATGATGTCTGGTCTAATTAGCATATTAGCCTTTTATTATTATAGATGGTTAAGGTTCAATTGTGGTAAAAAAAAAAAGAAAAAAAAGGATGGGGAGGGTAGAAAAAAGGGGGGAAGTGGAAGAGGTGGAAGAGGAAGAAAAGGGGGTTAAAAAGAAGAAAATGACCTATGCTCTTCAGAAGGAAGGTGAGAAGGGCAGCCATCTAAGCTCCTATTTTACAATGGGATTCCAATGTGGTTGAAGCTCACACAGGGCTGGGTTTTTAGAGTCTATTATGTTAAATCGTATTATTTCTAATTTCTCTTAAGTACCATGCATGTGGCTTGGTGGTTACTTGCCAACTCTTAATAAGTTCTAAATAGTTTCTTTCATAGTGTTGGAAAAGATTACTGGTGGTTTTCTGTTTTGTTTTGTTGTTGTTGTTTTCAGAAGAGCACCAAATGAAGTTTTTGGTTTGCATTTAGGAGCCAAAGTAAATATGTTTTTAATTTTGTGCTTGCTAAATACATCTAGTTGAACCTACTTAAGTGAAATGCATATGTGATGTCATTGAACTGTACTTTATTGTTATATGAACAGGCAAAATAGAACTGTAATCTATCAGACTAATAATTTCAACATTTATATGTCTTTGTTAATTGGGTGCCTCATCTAAGATTATGTTATATCCAGAAGGGACGATAGACACCTGGTATGTGCCATAAGTGTTAGCTGAGGCAAGAAAAAACATTAAAATGGGATCTTAGATATTAATACATCCAGTGGCTTTGTGGTGTTTTTTACTGCAACCCACAGTAAGAAATGTATTTTATATCCCACTAAACACACACACACACACACACACACACACACACTACACAACTGAAACAAAAGTTACACAAAAGAGTATTTACCCTTAGTACATGCACTCTGATGATTTCTATTCTAGTTTACTTCGTATTCTTTAAATTGCTAATTGTTACCTACTAGGTTACTCTCATGACCTGCAAAAAGGCCATGGCACACAACTTGAAAAACACTAATCTAGCTCACCCTTATATTTTATGGAGGAGGTAATTGAGCCTCGAACGGGACTAGAGGATTATTTGGAAAAGTAGTATGTGTTCATGTGTCTAGAATAAACTAACATGAAGTTAATTTTACATGTACCTGAGTCATTGACATCTCCTTATATATTTTATCTTCGTTCCCTCTTCTCAAACACCCACAGCCTATCATTTGTCAGGTAAGTCACTCTGTCTAAAGAGATCAGATTAATCCAGTGAAATTTATTCTGAAAAAGCCATGCTGAGAAATAGCTAGCATCTTCTCCTTGTTTGCAAATCAATCTCTTGACGACTTTCCAAATTTTTCCCAGGTACTAAAGTTAAATGTACATAGCTATCTTTTTTTAAATGCTGTGATAAAACAACTAGCTACACAAAGCAGGTTCTGGATCTGTGATTTTGCACATTTATTTTATTACCTAAGCCAGAATTGAAAAATGCTTTGATGCCCAAACAAGAGTTTCTGTTCGTGTTCTCTGATGAAGCCCATAACATATTGGCAAAATATCAGTTAACAGAAAAGAAGTATTAAGCTCAGTTTTGATATATTTATATTTTACTTCCCACATGCATCTTCCCAGATTTTTGTCTAGATGGTTAGATTAATAGTTCACCACTCTTTCTAAGGAATATTTAAAATACACCACTCTATGCTTAGCTTCAGAGATGATTTTTAGTTTAAATCCCTAGGGGAATTGAAATAACTCATAGGTGGGTTCCTTTATTGTTACTGTTCTCATTATCATGATTATTATCAGCAATTTTACTGTTATTTTAAATCAAATAGAGATTAATTATTTGCTTTCCAACTACTTAGAGGAGTCCTGAGCGAATGCGTGGTTTGTCACATATTAGGCAGGAAAATGTTCACTGAAGCCCTGCAGGGCCCCTGGCGTCCACTGGTCCAGGGCAAAGGTGTATTATTGTTCTTCAACACGCGTGCATCAGCGGGAACGGCCCCTTCTAAGGGAAACAGTGTGTGACTGGAAAACCTCTCAAAGGTATGTCCATTGGCTCCCGAGGTAGGTATTTTTCCAGGGCTGGTACTGTGTTAGCATTTCTATATCCTGTAAAACGACATGATGCTTTCCACTTAGTAAATGCTCAATAAAAGTGTATTTGATTTTGCAAGACAAGCTGAGAATATTGTCCTGGCAAAGATCTGGGAACCTCAAACACTAGAGTTCCTCACTCCATAGGTAAGAAAATGGGGTGGGGGAGGGGGAGGTCAGATTTCTCCTTCAGGTCTTGTGGTACTAACTGTTAGAGCTCAGAAAGAGGAGCTCTTTTCTCTAAGTTGTGTTACCTCTTAAATCTGGGTTCTTTCCATGTGCTCAAAGGGACTCAGAAAAAGCAAATGAAGTCTTTCTTCTAATTATTCATTGGCTCTCATTAGTTTTTTTTAAAAAAAATATATATTTCTTTATTGATTTAAGAGAGGAAGGGAGAGCGAGGAAGAGATAGAAACATCAATGATGAGAGAGTCATTGATTGGCTGCCTTCTGCACGGCCCCCACTGGGGACCAAGCCCGCAGCCCGGGCATGTGCCCTTGGCCGGAATTGAACCCGGGACCTTTCAGTCCCCAGGCCGACGCTCTATCCACTGCGCCAAACTGGCTAGGGCTAACAATAAATCTTGAAACCTCTTGATCTGTACATAGCAAGATCTCTTCCCGCCCCTTGAGAGATCCTACCTAATCTTAAACCTTCATAAACCATTCCTTCTCTCTTCCAATAAATTACTTCTACCCCACAAAAAAATAAAAAATGCCAAAAAATTTAACTCTTATTAGTTATGATCTCTTTAAGAGTCAGAATATACTTAGCTTAGTCTCTAATACCTTTTTCATCTTTATCTGTCTGGTACTTATAATTGTTTAACATGGTGGGCAGATACCTGGCTAAAACCCTCTTCGCCAAATAAGCATTGATATAGTTGCTACACTGTCCTTAACTAAGATGAGAACTTTTGTACTAACCTATTTTTAAAGTCTTTATAGAAAGCTTTGAAGCAAATCTTTCCTTCCTAATCAGAAATTTAATTGATCGAAATTCTATATTCTCTGAAAATTCTAGTTAGATATATCTTTAACTATAGTATTTAGGTTGTCATGTTTGAGTATTTTTGTCTCTGGAACTTTGATTTTAGAGTTAATGCAGAATAAAAGCAAGACATCTATTAAATACTATTGTTTGCTCTAATCGAGTAGGGACACACAAGCCAGATGGTATAAAACAAGACTTACTAGTAACACTGTACGTAAAAGAGTAAAATAAAGTTTCTAAGATGATATTTACATAAGTCAGGGAAAATAGAAAGGGGGGAGATCATCTATATAAATTAAAGCCTAAGCAATCGGATGACCGAACGACCAGACGACTGGACCACCCACCGGTAGCTATGATGTGCACTGACCACCAGGGGGCAGACACTCAATGCGGGAGCTGCCCCCTGGTGGTCAGTGTGCTCCCATAGCAGGAGTGCTGCTCAGCTGACAGACAGGTGTCAGACACCGGGCTCATGGCTAGTGAGCACAGCTGCAGCAGCGCAAGCCTCTCCCTCAATACTCCCCCTGTGCACCCAAGTGGCAGTGGCAGCAGCAGGTGCAGCGGGACGGGGATGAGAGGGAGTGGCGCTGCGTCCAGCCCGCCTGGGCTCTGGCTCCTCCCTGGCCACCTGCTGCTTCGCACACTACTTTGTGCTGTGCAGGATCGACATGGACAGCGGGCTGAAGCCCGATGAGCTGGCGGGTATGGCTGGGCTGCTGTGGCGCGGAGGTCCACTGATGCCCTCAGGCCAGGCAGAGGTGCACCGGGCCTCTAGTTTCAGATAGCAATTATAGAGAGAGACTTCAAGGTGGATAGAATGGTTTGTCTAAGAGGCTTAGGGTTTGCAGGTATCAAAGGTATTCAGAAATAGGTATGTCCTGTGTGGTGCTCTAGGGGAAAAGTGGTTCCCACAGAGCAAGGATCTTAGAATTGATGCAGATGAGAAGACAATAGACACCAGTGGTGGTATTTAGCAACACTAACTAACAAACATTCTTACATTTAGCCTGCAAAACACTCCTAGGAGGTGAGTACCATTGCTATTGCTATCCTAGAGGTGAGGGCTTAGGCAGGGTAAGAAATTGCCAAAATCAGGTAGCAAGTAAGTGACAGAACTGTCTGACCCACTAATCTCTGGGGGGAAAAAATATGCAAATGGCTTGAGTCTATTCTAAGAAAGAATTCTTATGTTCTTTTCTTTCTTTCCCCTCCTCTCCTCCTTTCCTTTATTATTATCATTACTATTATTATGTTAGTGAGAATTTTAAGAGTTTGAGTATTAACTTGGTCAATAGAATTTGTATAGTGTTCTAGACACATTCCCTCACACCCGGGACCTGTTCCATTTGGGCTGGTTATCTTTCTGTCAGAGGTTCAGTATTTCTGACAATTTCTTGATGGAAGAAGCATCGTTTGCTGTTTGAGTTCTAAGAGCGTGGGCTCTCCTTGCCATCCATGCCTAGCAAAGACTTGCCAATTGGAGTTAAAGACTGGGAGACTGAAGGCATCCATCAAGCCACACCAAAGATCCC